TAAACACCTCCTCGTCCACTGACTCGTGTCCTCGTGGAGATTCTGGTTCTGCTCGTCAGTGAACGCAGCGTCAGACCAAGTGGCTGAAAACCCAGTTCCTTGTTTTGCTGACGTTAAACTCCACAGAACCGGACTCGAACCCCCTGCAGCTCGGCAGAACTGAATTACGCGTTTTGAGAAGCCTGGTGATTAATGGCCGCGCAGCCAATCGGGTTAATGGATCCTGTTATCGGCGGCGTGTCAGGATCTCAGCTGGATAATAACGAGCGCTCTGGTTTGGCGGAGCCTCTAATTCAATAAAGAGTCCATTACTTCCTGCCTGTCGGTCCCGGCGGCCTCGCCTCCTCCTCCATCACCCCGTCTGCTCGCCGGACCGTCGCGCCAATCAGATCGCATCGTTCCTGCAAGTGTTGATGAAGAACCGAGTCAAAAGTGCTGGTGTCTGATTACCGTCAGCGAGCCGAGAACATAAAACCAACGTTAGGTTTAGTTTAACTGGTGAAGTACAGCTGGTGTTGGTTTTATTACTGGAAACAGCTTCACCTTTTGTTCACTGTTAGATTCTTGTTTTATTATTTCTGTTGCTTCATTTCATATAAACTCTCAGAATCAGCTCGTTTTTTGATCTAGAATCACTTCAGAGGGCAGATTTTCAGAGTTACAGGATCCTCAAGTTCATTTTTAAGCCTCAGAATTTCAAAAACGCAAATTTTCATGAAGTGATTTCAGAGAACCGTGTGAGTTTTTCTTGTCGTTGCCGCCTGACGTGATCCGAGTTACGTTTTATAACTCAGATAAATATATAAATATAATATATTAAATCTAATAAAATAATCAGTAAAGCTTCTATTTGTCAATTAAATAACATCTGTTTGCTTCACACAGAGTTTTCTGCGTCGCTTTTTTATTTTTAGAATGTATGTTTGTATTTTTTTAAATCTTATTTTCTTTCTTTTTTTCTTCATTTGAGGCTGAAACGCACAAAGAACTCCAGTGTACAAATAATATCATGTATGCAAATGGAAATAAGACTCTTTTATTTTATTCTAATGTCACGTTTAGTGCATAAAACTCAGTCTAACACCTTTTCTCGGTACTTGTACACGTTACGTCTTTAAAACTTTAATTCGTTTAAAATCTGAACTCGGGTCCAGAGGTTCTGACTTTATTCTGATGTTTTGCTTCATAATTCAAGTATTTCTAGAATTTGCCTTTAATTTTGGAGTTTATCTTCTATTTTAATGTCGACTCCTCCTCCGTGGTGAAGCT